AAAAAAAAAAAAAAAAAAAAAAAAAAAAAAAAAAAAAAAAAAAAAAAAAGCCTTATGAAAGCAAAGGAATAAGAAGAAAGGTTGTTTCGTCTTTGCATTTCGTTGTCTGCATCTTTTTATTCAGTTCCTCTTTTCTAGTGTGTTGGTTTGTGCAGGTCAAGTTTCAATGCAGTGTGTTGGTTTGGATTGAATTTCTAGTGCATTTAAGACCAATAATACCCATGTTCAAGTATGTGATTGAGAAACTTAGATCATCTTCAAACTTTTAAATTTTCTAGTTCAATTTCTTCGGGGCATATCGATGGTAGTTACACAATAAGTCACAAATAATCATTAGATTTTTCTCTCTACAAAATCCAAATTATGAACACTCATCGAACTCGAACTAATATATAGCCACATTAACCGACCGATCCCCACCTGTCGACCCTTGGCAATACAAAACTGGTTAAATATGCTACAATAGCATGGAAGCCGAAGGGAAGCAGCAGTTTGACAATCCCAAACTGTGATGGAGATCATGCATGAATACAAATACACAAATGCAGTAGAAGCAAGCAGCATCATAAGAACACCAAAGTCATTAATAAAACACAAAAGATGGTTGAACTGGTGTAAGGGATGGTACCATAGAGATGCTTTGGAAGGCAGCCACCAGCTGAATCAGAAGAATTTGAGGATGGAGCCAGAGATGTGCTATTTACTAAAGTGCCATTACTTCCACTACTGCATTGGACAAAAATACGAGGACACAACAGTCAGGAAGAGTAGTCACAGACATAATTCGGTATATAGATATTTAAGAGTCGTTCGCGGTTACCTTCCCGGAAATAGACACGTACCATGACCTGCAACAAGAAACATCAAACCGAACATTAGCAACCATATCAAATCATTAGCAATCATTCAAGATTTCATACTTGGGTTTGTGGTGGTGATGATAGCCACTCCTTTAAAATCACAGGTCCCTGGAGACTTGGCCATTTTCTGGTAATAAGCATTGAAAGCGTAGGTTGAATGGGCTATAACATTATCTGGTTGATAACATGACTGCCCCTGCAACAGCGGGGAACAATCGACTTTCCCTGGTCCACACGCCCAATCCAGTGCTGCTTGCAGCAGCCTACGATCAGCACCGTCTCGTGCAACACAGAACGTTTGGTTTGTGGTATCATTTGCCAAAACAGCACCAGCACCAGTCAAGTGCAAGGTATAAACTGGCATTCCATTAGAATTGAAGAGACCCCAATTCTTTTCCGAGACTGAACCGGGTCTTAAATCCTCATTGTAGAGCTCATATATGTAGGTACTAACAGGAACACCCGGATGCTTGGGCGTTCCGGTGTTGTTAAGAACGTGTCTAATTAAGTTGCTATTGTAAGTGTTAGCATTATCCAAAGTTGCATCTGGCTCCGATGCATCGCCCTTGGATGGCCAGCCTGACTCTGTAACAACGACTCGTATGTTCGTGAAGTTTAAATCTAACATTGCGAAATAGGCAGCATCAACAACCGCATCAAAGACATTAGTATAGTGCAATAGGGTATTGGCGTCAACAGCCTCCTTGGTTGGAGGGAGGGGCCGGAAAAGTGCATAGTCTAGAGGAATCACACCATTTGATTGCATGTAATCATAATAGGGATAAACATTAAGCATGAGATAAGAGCCAGTGGACTGCAAAAATTGAAGCAATGGAACCATGACAGGGTCCCATGAACGGTTAAAGAAGGCCTGTGATGGAGGGAAGGAGTCAAGAATAATGGAAGAAGAATGTGGGGTAGAAACTTTGATTTGGCGATCCAGATTGGATGCAAGGAGAGCAGAGTGAATGAATTTGAGAGCCGAGACAAGGATTGGGGCAGCATTTGGAAGAGTGGTAAGAACATCAGAGCCAATGGCTATGCCTGTGATGTTGGTGGCAGGAACATGGGCAATGACATTCCGAGCAACCCAGTTGGCTGCAGTCGCATTGGATTGACCAATTCCAAGAAGTTGGTCATTGGGTACAGAAACAATGACTTGGATGCCTGTGTTGGCAAGAGCAAGAAGCATAGCCCGGTCGGCATCATATAGCCTGAGATGTCTAATATTTTGAGCTTTGAGAAGTGCAACTACCTGAGTGGGGTTGGGCATATCAGAAAGATCCATACCAAGGTTTACACCAATGAACGCATCTGCAATTATATAAAGAAAACAATATAATTTCAAACATACAAAACAGGATGATGATAAACTGCACTAATTGCTCTGCTTGTTTCATCTTCCCCATATTTTAATGTTCTTAGCTAATCTGAGTAAGGAAAGCGCCCTCCCATCAAGTTCTTTTAATACCCATTACACACCAGATGCTACATTTTTAACCATGAAACTAATTCCAAAAGATGTTCAAAAGCTTGGCAGTAAAATGAAGGGAAGCCCACAAAAGACAGAGTGAAATAACACAAATTACAGCAAAATCTAACAAGAAACCCCAAAAGAAAAGCGTAAAAAAGGAGGGAAAAGCATAAGATTGATAGAATGGCAAGAACAGGATTAGATAAGAAGGAAGAAGGGGTCACCTTGATCAGCAGAAACGGCAGAAACGGCGAGAAGGAAAAAGAGCAAAATCATAGCCATAGAAGAAAGGAAAACAGAAATTCTTGACTTGAAACCCTCAAAGATTAAAAAAAAAAATGCTGTGTAGCAAAAACCCCAGAACCCGCACAAATTCAAAATCTCAGTCGGACCCCAAAAGGAGAAGAATCCCGAAGAACAAAGAACAAAAAAAAAAAAGGAGCAAATTTTTGAAGAGGGAGAATAAAAAAGGGGGAATATCTGTGGTGTGTTGAGAGAGTGGTACAGAGATATGTCAGAGATCCAAGGGTGGAGATTTGATGAGGGTTCAGTGTAATCCTTGATGGTTACCATAGAGGATTATATTGGAGATGTGTGGCTATAAAGAAAAAATGATAAATAATTTTATTTTTCTTATTTTGTTGAGTGGTGAGTGTGCTGTGATTTGTCTTTTGTGTTGAGATTGGAAACTGTACAGAAAAGTAGCCAAAGTTGGATGCGACCAGAGTGGCTGACATGGACTGAAACTGCCAGCTGGATCCCAACGGTCGTCTCCTTCAATTTTTTTTTCCTTTTTTTTCTTCTTCTTAACAGTTAAGAGATTGGTTATTTTGATTTACGCATTTATTTAAACAATTTTGAAGTTGAAAGTAAAGGTCAAAACAAAAGTTGGTGCTGACGTCGGAAAGGAAGGAATGCATGCACGGTGCTATTTAATAATGATAATAAATTGATAAATAAATAAAACAATGTAAAAATCGGATCAAACCCTACTTACCAAATATTATTCGCTTTAGTCTGTTACAAATAGTGGCCAGTTCCATAATTTTCCACACCCTCTTCCTAATCCTTTTTAATTGACGTGATCTCAACTAAAAATTGTAAAAAAAATAAGTAAATTGGCACCTATTAATACTCCATCATCATTAAATAATTAAACTACTCAGGTGGTCTATATGTCTTAATGTGGGCTATAATGTGGGCTATGTCAAATATAATTGTACGGGGTGTGTTTGTCTTTTGATGGTGGCTACTTTTCTTAATAATATTAGTTTTTCTTTTTCTTTTTCTTTTTCTCAACTCTGGTGTTTAATTTATTATAAAAGAGAGTAGCTAAATAAATAGATAAAAAAAGTAATAGAATATAATAAATGATAAACCACCCATACTTGGAATCCATGCGCCACTCATTATTTGTTTCCATCATATGCTAACCCATGTTCATCCATGTCATCCATATATTTTAATTAATGGATTTAATATGTTCGCATATGGTTCAATAACCCTACAATCACATATATTATGAAGATGCGAACATGATAAATAAATTTATCGGGTTCAAACCAAGGCCCAAGAAGACGGAGGCCCAAGAAGACGGAGGCCCAATTCCACCCCCCTCTCTTTGTTTTATTTAAAAATACCCAACAAAACCAAAGACGACAAGATTTAAAGTTCATCCTGTCTCCTTTTATGATGGGGGCATTTCCCTTTCTAAAGTGTTTGCACGTCCTTATCACCTGAAAGCTCGAAAACAAAATATACAAATTTATGATAAAATTTAATAGATTTTACTCGCAACTCCCAAACATTTGCTCAGGCTTCTATTAAGTCCACGTCATTAACGTTATTAATGAAATGGTAAATATTTATTAGTCAATTTATATGTATATAAAAGAATATATTGATAGTAAATTTTAAAATATGGTATTTGTTCTAATAAAGCCATTTGCTCCAAAGTTGATTTAAGTGAATGTGATTACAAAAGATCTCTACCTATCATCATCCATGTGCCCAAATATATTATTCTTTTTACTTTTTAACCAAATAACTATATATATCCTTTTTACTATAAAACAAATACCTCATTCATCAACACTATTAATATATACCATACTTTTTATAATATATTTCACAAAATATGCTTAAAAATTAGTATAATTAGAAATTAAAAAAATATATTCCTTTTTGTAATGATCCATCTTAAGATTTGGACCATAATTATAATCTTACTGTTGTTTGGCATATTTACTGCAACATGGTCATGCTACTTGCTTTTTTGTTACATGGACAGTGGTTTAAAGTAAGCATTAACTGGCCCAAAAATAAATAAATAAGTAAAGTGAGATTTAAAGAGGTTTATACGAAGAAACACATTTTGAATCACCAGCCAACCAACACACAAGTTAAAAACAACTTTTCTACCTTAAAGTGGAAGACACCCTTGAATAGATCAACCTCGAGGACATTCACCCTGTATATAGTCATGATACTAATGTTGAGGAGGAATAATATGAATATCAAAGTTCCTCCGTTAAGGTGCATAAACCAAAATATGCTCAGCACAACACAAACACATACTCATCTTTAACTCAACATTCAACTATTTAGATTTAGATTAAGTTGGAAGAACCTTCAACATTCCAACCATTTTTCGACTCATCCAAGAATAGTCGGAAAGAATAAGAATTTTTTAAAATAAAGGGTAAATCTTGGGAATATATATTCTTTCTAATTTAGCCAAAGTAAAAATAAAAGGTGTAAGTAATATATAAAAACAAAAAGATCGACGAGTTGAGGGCAATAAATCGTTAGGTGGGCAAATACATCGGATTCATTAATAAGTTAGCCACGTGCGGAAAGCCAGGTGGCAGCCTCTGAGAGAATGACAATAAATGCAAGTGGTTCCACCGCCGTAGTGATGGGTGAAGAGGGGTCTTTACAATTCGCACGTTTTAAGTTACCGGCTAAACCGGTCGTCCTCACTGGATCTCTTCCGGTAAACGCTTCCGATTAATTCAAAAGCATGCTTAAATTCCAATGACGGCCAGGATCCAATAATACGCCCTCTCTCTTTCTCTCTTGCTTGCTTTCGTTTTTGGTGCAGTTGAATTTTCTCTTAAGCGTCTTTGCCCTTCTCTTTGTTTCAGAGTTGGTCGGATTTGAGGTTTCTTCTGGTGTCAACTTTGGTCTGAAATGGAGAGGGATTTTTTAGGTCTCAGCTCCAAGGAGGAGCCGTTGGCTAAGGTGAAAGAGGAAATTGACAGCGATGGAGCCCAAGGTTTTGGTTATTTTTCCAATTCCATTTTGTGTACCTTAATGAACTTTTACGAACTTTGTCGTAGTTTAATTGATTTTGTTTTTTCTGTTTTTGAATTCTCTGTTTATGCCTGGTTGAATCTTGATGTTTTCTGTTTTTCTGCAAAGAAATTTGGGGGCCTTGATGTTTTGAAGTTCCATAATTTCATTTGTAGTTCTTGTTAGTCAAGATAATCTTGTGTTCTAGTCTGGTAATTTCACTGATCTTCACGAGTTTTATTTTTAGGGTATTCTAAAAGCTCTGGTGTTCCTCATCCGATGCCTTTCAAGATTTCTGCTGAGGACAAGACTGCGTATCCGGTTGCGGCTGCTTCTGATCAGCGTCGAGCAGCGGATGCCCAGGTTTGATATCTGTTCCTCGGTTTTGTTTTTGATATGTTCTTCCTTCACTCGTTTGCTTTTAGTTGCGGTAGCTCCTAAACTAGAGGTGTATGGCTTGCTTTTGTTTGGGCTGATGTGGTTGTATCTCTTTCTCCGGTTGTATCCTTCACTTTTTCAATCTAGAAAACGTTCAATCTGGATAGGCAAGGTGGCCCTCAAATTTCCCTGGCAGCTTATCCTATGCAATCTGATTTGTATTCGATTCATCGTCCTCACGAAACCAAACTATTTTCCGTTCCAAATCAAGGTATATCTGTTTCATTAGGTAATCCATCCGTGAAGAACCCTTTTGCTCTTCCTGCTCAGATGGCTGGTCCTATCCTCAAACAACCACTTGGAGGAGTCCCGGTTTCAAGCGCTCTGAATTCATTTTTCCCACCATTTGGATCCATTTCTGGGATCACTGAACCATGGTAACACTCTTGTACTTGTACTTTTTAACTTCTTTCTTAAGCTTTAATGAACATTTGTAGGAAGAACTGAATGTAATTTGAACAGTTTTTTAATCCTCTGTACAGGAATAGCATGAAACCAACTGGTGGGTCTCCAGCTCAACTGACTATTTTTTATGGTGGTACCGTCAAAGTCTATGATGACATTACCCCTGAAAGGGTAATTATCATATAAGTTCTCTTTTGAAGTACCATGAGTAAAGGAAGGGCTCTGAGATTGATATCCCTTTTGCAGGCTCAGGCTATAATGTTCTTGGCTGGGGCTGGGGCTTCCATATCCAACATTGCACATCAAAAAGCTCAAGCTCATGGAATGGGTGCAAAAATGGCCGCAGCAAGTGATGGTGCTCCCAAGAACCAACCCGTGAGCATCTTGCCCTGCCCTGCTCTATCTAGCCCCTTGTCTGTTTCTTCTCACACAGGAGTCCAGTCTGGGAGTGGTTCAAGTTGTTCTGATGAGTTGGGAGGAGTTAAAACCAAGGGACTTCCCACCACTCCTATCAGCAAAGGAGAGCCTCCAAGAATAGTCAATGCAGTCGGACCTGCTGCTACTGCTATGCTGCCCTCTGGTATGCCATACGCCAACAAGAGCCATCATTTTTTCTTCTTTCATTCATTGATGGTGCCTGTTTTAGCTGATGATTCACGAATTAGGTCAAATTAATGTATCAATAACTTAGGATGTTCAATGATTTGGGAGCAAGCATTCTGACGGTATAATTCGTAGGAACTTTCTTGAGTTGCAACTTATATTTCATTTTTGGTTTACTTCTACAGCTGTTCCACAGGCTCGTAAAGCATCCTTAGCTCGGTTCTTAGAAAAGCGCAAGGAAAGGTAAGTCGTTTTACGATATCTTGTCACAAAAAGAACATCATCAAAGAACATATAGAGATCCAAATTATGGCCCTCTAAATTATTCTGCATTTTGATGTACATATAGGGTCATGAGCTCTTCTCCATACAATCTTAGCAAGAAACATCCCGAGTGTGCTGCGACAGAATCCAACGGTGCAAATTTCTCGAGTCCTATCACGAGCAACAGTGCTAATGTGGCAAGCTGAGAACAACAATCATTTATGATGTAAAACATAGAGAATGATGGCTTTGTAAGTTAAAGAAGAAGATGTAAGCTAATGGTTCTTATGGTCTATTCTTATGTGAACAGCCTTCAAGAGCCTCGAGACTATTAAAGTTTTAATAGTTCCACGTCTTAAATGATATTTTGCCTATACAAAGCTGTTCTAAAGCTTTCAATTAATATCTGTTCATGATCAACAACAGATATCATAGAATTCTATTTAGTATAGCATTTTGGATGATATGAGACTGTTTATGTGTATTGATAAAGATTTGGTTAGTAGGTATTGATGCTTGAAGAGA